TGATGATAATATCTCCCTCCTCCATTAGCAAATGGAATAATTAATATTATGTTATATTAGTTGTGCTATATATTGTGTCATTTATATATTAATTAATATCCTTCTTTTCTCTCCATAATTCGCCTCATTGTAATCGAGAATAGTCTATTAATTCAAAGCAATCATTATCAACAGGGTCGATGCACAATGTCTCATTTTCTAAAGAATCTTGACATGATCGCATATTGTTGTTTGTCGACAATAGATAATTTGTTGATGTTGTGCCAACTGTAGTTTGAGTAATAATTGGTTCCAAACCATTATCATTGCTACAATTAATAATATTGTTGTTATTAATAGTAATATCATTGGAAGATCCTTCCCCGAATGAAGAATAATCGATTTTAATTTTCGTCATCAACATGGCAGTTCCATCGTCATCATTGTTTATTTGTCCTATTTTTTCACTTTTCGTAATATACATTGCAGCAGTGACATCTTCTACTTTATTTTCTTGATAAAAAATGGGGTTCGTGTGTAATTCATCATTAGGAGTCATCAATGGTGTCACTAAAGGTGTATCATCAGGTGATTCAATATCGTTATTTGGCAAGAATGATTTAGGTTCAAGAAGAAATGGGAATTGTGGAAATGATGGAAATGGATAACCAAGTAATTTATTCTCGTCGTTATTCTCATCGTTAAAATGAAGAAGATGATGTTCAAGGTCTTGCTTGAATGATTGTTCTTCTATGATTTCCATATCGTTATTGTTATTATGAATTGTAGTTTTGGTGGTAACTAATTTTGTAAGTTTTGGTTGTAATGGCAAATGTAGATGGTCGAAAGTTAAGATCATGTCTTTGTTTTTGCGTAACGCTCCATTAAGAATTAATTCTTGACTTGGTTCTATATTGCATAATTCTAAATATGCACTCGGTGGATAGAGATTGTCATGATTTCCTGCAAAATATAAAAATATTAATAAAATATAAAATATAAAAACAATTCAATTATCAATTTAACTACCTTTATTTTCATAAATAACCATGTGGTTTAGACCACCATCCGTCTTTACAGAAATAGTTTTCTTGAATAGTCCATCTTTGCGATGTATGAATGTTCCTTTATTACAAATATAATATTTCAAATTTTCCATTTCTATTCGCTTCTTAATCATGTCATCTAAATCTTCGTATTTTTTTATATCAGGAAATCGTGCACACAATTCATGATACACCAAGAAATCTCCCTGAATACGACTTGGCGACCATTGTCTATTTTTATTTACATTAATATATAGTGAGAATACATTTTACATGACCATAATTATGATAGATCGTAATAATGAATTTTTAGATTTTTATTATCCAATCAATCCCCAATACGATAATACACATACTTTCCGTCAGTCCAACGTTTGATCCTTGATTCAAATTCGTCATAAACATAACTAATAGTTTTAATAAAGATAATTAAATATGTGGCCAAAATCATCAACATCATCAAAATCATCAATCAATCATCAATCAATCAATAATCAATCAATAATCAATCAATCAATTTATTATTTACATCGATCCAACACGCAAGCATCTTTTTTCTTCATCTGTTAAACGACGTGTTATTCTATACAATACTCCTTGTCTGCATGCCTCTGCTCAAATAAACAAAAAAATTAAGTTGCGCGTAAAAAGAAATATTTAAATATGAATTTTTATTTTTGGGGGCTTTTTTGTGTATTTACCAAAGATGATTAACGCGTCTTTAGTTGTATTGATTATGCCTAAGAACGATGGAAATGTGATTGTTTTTCGTAAAGTACAAATGAAAATATTATAACGATATTATAATATTATATCTTTATATTTACCATGAAAGGTTTCCATTGTAAATGTTAAAATTACTTGTATTTAGATTATTTCAAAGAATTTTTTGGCAAAGAATTTGAATTTTTTGAAAATTCTCTCGATTCATTTATGTATGAAATCATAAGCTTTTTATTATTATTATTATTATTATTACCATCATATTACATTTGTTATAATTAAGATCAATTAGTTATCCGATTCATGTCACATGGTGGAAAGAAAAATTTTAAACTTCTAATAGACTATAAACGATCAAATCAAAGAACTTGAAAAATTCATTTTCGATGTGCGATCGGCGGCAATCGGTAATTTAATCTTTTGTGTAATACATTGTATATATATATTAAAGGTAGATAGATAGATAGACAGATTATTATTAATATGACAGTTGTTAGTCGCAAAACTTTTTATTTGTTGATTTATTTATTACTCTTTTTCAATTGTGTTGGATTCTTTTGGAAACAACATTTAAACAATTTAAACATTAAAACAACCCCTTTCCAAAAAAGATCAACACTTTCAAATTTAAGTTTAACAAACCTTGACTACTTCAATTCCAATGTTTTGACTTTAATTTCAGAGGTATGTTCATTAATTTATAATTTTATTTAAATTCTTGTAGAATTTAATCAACGTGCAAATAATTGAATTCAAAATGTTTTTATATCTAAGAACCGAATTTTTTAATCACAGTGTGATGATATCTATAAACATCCAGATCAATGTACTTTTGTTCGCGAGTACTGTAAAGATTATTCTCCCGGTTTGTTCAATTACTTGGAATACTACTTTTGTGATTTACAACATTGGCAACTTTTTGCATTAATGACTTTGGTAAATGTGCAAATATTAATGATTCTTTAATATTACTCATTCGTTCGCTCACCCATTATTTTGATTTATAGTTTCTATGGCTCATGTTTTTATTCGGTTTCATAGGAGTTGCTGCTTCTGACTTTTTTTGTCCAAATTTAAATACAATTGCTTCAAAATTAAATTTATCTGAAAGTATGGTAAATATTAATGTTATTTTTGTGCAATTAAGAAAATTCATATATATATAACACACACACACATATATATTTAATAAACTGACAATAAATATTTGTTATAATAAAAACAAAGGCTGGCGTAACATTTTTGGCATTTGGAAATGGCTCGCCTGATGTTTTTAGTACTTTCAGTGCTATGACACATGGATCTGGATCATTGGCAATCGGTGAACTTATTGGCGCTGCAAGTTTTATTACTTCTGTGGTAGCTGGATCTATGGCAGTGATATCACCATTTCGTGTTAACAAAATCCCATTCCTACGAGATATCACCTTTTTCTCTATTTCAATCTTATTTACACTTTTAATTATTTTGGATGGGGAAATTTATTTATGGGAAAGCATCATTTTGGTTATTTTTTATTTTATTTATGTTAGTGTAGTGGTGGTGGGAACTTGGTATGTAAGAGATCAAAAAAAGAAACAATGGCAAGAGCAAAGAGCTAGAGAGGAATACGATGATTCTATTGTAATGATGAGGCGTGATATTAGTAACGGTGAGATTGGTGATGATGATTATGATTATGATGATATGGATAATAACATGCCTATTGAAGAGGTTTTTGGTGGTAAGATATTTCTCAAACAAATAATAATATATTTAGGAGATGTTACTTTTGATTTATTATTAATGTATAGTTTTAAATAAATAATTATCAAGAAAATCAAGATGCATATGGCTACGACACATACAATGAAAATGATCTTTTACTACCGGATGTTGAACATAGAAGTGGTGCTGATATTATTATCAATGGTAATAGTAGTAGAGGAAGAAGAACTTCATTTAGCAACAACAACAGAGATTTTCAACTACAAGAACAATATTCTCCTTCTTCGTTCATATCTGTAAATGATGTAGTAGATCAAACTATGCATTTTCATCATCATCACCATCATCAAATTATTTCAAATAAAAATACAAAATCATTGCATCGGGGAATGAGACCTTCGTTATTTGGTGCAATCGAGGTAAATTGTGTATATAAATAAATCATACATAAATATACCAATATATTATAACTATTAAAGATCATTTTTATTATTTATTTAAAATCATAAAGTTTCGAGATGTTGTCAAATCCCTTAAACTAGATAGCAATGTAAACACATTAGGTTTATTTGGACATAATAATTCTAACAATTATTATCGTCAGCATCACCAGCGTCATCCGGAAAGACTTGATAATAGATCTAGTAATCCAGAAAGAAAAAATTGGTCTAATATAGGAAGAGAGGAGAGAGCTTTAGAAACTATTGGTGGATCAACTGGTCGTCGTCATAATGTCGGCAATAACGATATTCATGATGCCCCAAAAATAAATATACAAACGCCCAAAATACCATCAACGACAGACGAGGATTTCTTCGCATCTGGTTCAACTTCTTCTAAATTTAATAATAATTCGAATAATTCGGGAGAAATAGGTAGCAGCAATTTGAATGTTCCAAGTCTTTTGGTAATTCCACCAACGCCAAATCAAGGACCTGTTGTTGTCTCGAATATGTCACCTTCATTAAATTCATCTACAATTGATTTATTACCAAAAACTCATCAAGAAGAAGAGAATAATGATGATTTTACTCCAGTGCCCCCTTTAGTTTTAGAATCATCATCATTACCTAAAATGTCTCCATTTACGTGTCTACGATCATCATTCTGGACAAAGGCTCGAGCAACTTTATTTCCATCGCTTACAGGATTTTCACAGAAATCATATTTTACAAAATTAACTGCTTTAATGGCCATGCCAGCAATTTTCTTGCTTACGTTAACTCTACCTGTTGTGGAAGCAAGTGCTTTAGCATCTGATGAAAATGAAAAAAGAAATAAATTATTACAACAACAACAACAACAACACAATCATTTAGGTTTAGATTTAGATTTAGATTCAGTTATTGATGAACTACTTGAAGAAGAAAATGAAGTTGGTTGGAATAAATGGTTGACAGCCATACAATTTCTATGTGCTCCTATTTTTATTTCTAGCGTTTTATTTGGTAATAACCAATTTTGGGGTTTTTTTGATGTGGAAATTAATATTTTTTTGAATACTAATTGAAATATCTTTAAAATATTTTTTTTACAGCTGGTGACAAATCAAGTGTTATTATTGTGTTGTATGCTTTCATTTTTGGGTTGTTAGCATCTATCTTCTGCATCTTATTTACAAGTGAATTTAGAACGCCAAGATTTCATTCATTACTTTGTTTTATGGGATTTGGTGTTGCAATTGTCTGGATATTTCTTGTGGCCAATGAAGTTGTAGGTCTACTTCAAGTAAGTGCAAAAGAAAAGAAAAATAGATAACATGGTTTAATATATTGTATATTATAACGGTGATAAATAAATTTTGTTTATTTAGGCTTTAGGCCAAATAATGGGATTATCTGATGCTATACTTGGGTTAACAATTTTTGCAATGGTAATTTCTTATTATTATTATAAACACATACAACATATATTTATTTACTAATGTTTTAATTTTTAATAGGGAAATAGTTTGGGAGATTTTGTTGCAAATATTACTATTGCAAAAATGGGATTTCCTATGATGGCCATGAGCGCATGTTTTGGTGGTCCTATGTTGAGTAAGTTTATTCTTTATTGTCGTTAATTAGCAGAAGAAGCAACTGATAATTATTTTGTATATTAATATTTATATTTTTTATTTGATTTAATAGATATATTACTTGGAGTTGGTATTAGTGCTACTTATGTAGCAATTAAAACAGGCAGTCCAAGTAAGATTGAAGTTGAAGCAACGTTATTTATATCATCAATTGGATTATTATTAGGGTTATGTTCGGTTATGATTTATTTGCCATATAATGGTTATCGAATGACAAAAGCTTTGGGATATTATCTGATTTCAATTTATGTAATTTGTATGTTGATAAATGTTGTATTGGAAGTGAAATCTATTAATAGTTCATGATTTTTTTTTCTAAAAATTTTATTTAATTTAATAACAACAATAAAAATTTAATATATAGGATAAAAATAAATAAAAAATAGTAAAATATATACATATATACAGTGTGTTGCGAAAAAAATTGCGCGTGAATTGTAAAATTGATTTTTATAATAAATAAAAAAAAATAGATTTGTTTACATGATTGCCATTTTTATAAATGTTTATTTTTTCCTTTTTTAATCTCTTTACAAAAAAGAAATTATCCTACTTCATTGTTTATTTCGTTTAAAACCTTGCAAACATGCCCAATAAAGAACTTGAGGCGCAACGTCAAACAATTCTACATTACTGGCTAAATGGAATTCGTACTGCCAAAGAAATATATACAAAAAAAAATATTTCCATTCGTACTATTCAATACAACATCAAAAAACTCAAAGAAAAAGGCACTGTTAAACATATTGGTGGTAATGGCCGTCGTTCTAAGGTTACACATACTGTTTCGCGTTCAATTGGGCAACTTGTTCACCATAATTCTGCAATTACAACACGTCAACTTGCATTTCGAATTCAAGATACACATAATGTATCTATTCCACATACTAATATTGGGCGACACATGGCAAAAAAGGGGTATAATAGTGCCATACCACTTTCCACCCCAATGCTTACCAGTAGTCATATAGATGCTCGAAAAACATGGGCACAGCTCATTTGAACGATAACTGGGACTATATCATCTTTACAGATGAGACTGCTTTTGATTTATTTCGTAATAAAATTTCAAGATGGTATAAAAATGGAGAAAGACCAGTTAGAAGATTACCAAAATCACGACAAAAGGTAATGGAATTTCATTGAATGGCAAAACCCCTTTGTTTTGCTTTACAGAAATAATGGATGGTCCTTTTTATGTGAGTATTTTGCAAACCCAGCTTCTTCCTGTTGCTCAAAAACTGTATGGTAGAAACTGGTGTTTGCAACAAGATAATGATCCTAAGCACACTTCGCGTGTTGCAAAGGACTTTTTATCCCAAAATAATATTCATGTTGGGCACAGCTCATTTGAACGATAACTGGGACTATATCATCTTTACAGATGAGACTGCTTTTGATTTATTTCGTAATAAAATTTCAAGATGGTATAAAAATGGAGAAAGACCAGTTAGAAGATTACCAAAATCACGACAAAAGGTAATGGAATTTCATTGAATGGCAAAACCCCTTTGTTTTGCTTTACAGAAATAATGGATGGTCCTTTTTATGTGAGTATTTTGCAAACCCAGCTTCTTCCTGTTGCTCAAAAACTGTATGGTAGAAACTGGTGTTTGCAACAAGATAATGATCCTAAGCACACTTCGCGTGTTGCAAAGGACTTTTTATCCCAAAATAATATTCATGTTTTAGACTGGCCATCAAACAGTCCCGATCTGAATCCCATTGAAAATATGTGGCAGATCGTAAAAAATAATGTAGAGAGAATGCCTAGAAATACTAGTGAGTTGAAACAATTTATGGTTGAAGAATGGGATAAAATCCCCCATGAAACAGTACAAAATTCAATTAAATCTATGAAAAATCGTTGTGAATTAATATTACAAAAAAATGGGGATAGAATTTCGTATTAATTTTTTTATATTTAATAAAGTAAATAATGAACTTTCAAATGAATCTATTTTTATTTATTTTCAATGTGTGCTTGTTGAGATTTACGTTTTTATTTATGCACAATTTTTTTCGCAACACACTGTATGTTGTATGTGAAATTTGAAATTGAAATATTATGGAGCGGGGTGAAATTCTGATTGGCTAATTTGAATTTCACATATGTGAATTGCGAATTCACATAATTTCATTTTCACGTACAACATATACATATACAGTATATGTAATAATTGCCATCACGCATAACAATTGAAGTCCTTTTGATATTTAACGAGTGAAAGAGATGTATTGTCATAATGTTTTTTATATAATATTGATTAGGGCAATTGACTAAATGCATCTAAATCAAACTGTTGAGAATCTAAAAAAATATTATAGAAAATGTTAAGCTCAAATTAAAAAAAATTTAATAAATAATAATAATTACAATTATAATCACTAATAATTGTGACTTTGTTGGAATTTACAGGTTGTGGAAGATTTGTAAATTTTAATAATCTGCTGGTATAAACAGCATTTGGATGAAGGATCAAATCTAATCTTATCCATTTCGTCAAGTATTTTTCTATTTGCCCTTAATTCATCAAGCTGTTCTTTAGAATAATTACACTCATTATCATATTCACTCTCAGTATTATATATTAAATCATCTTGAAACGCTTTATACCAAGACCAAGTAATATATTCAATTTCTCCAGCAGATGGACGTTTATCTGGATCAGCATCCATGCATCTGTATGCTAATTCAATATAAAATTTTGGGGTGTTGTTAGAGAATCCTGGTCTTATCCCTTCACATATTTTAATTGCAAGACCTATATCATGTGCAAAATTAGTAAAAGGTTGTAGTCCTGTTGAAATTACTGACATCAATATGCCAAAACTATATATATCTGATGCCATAGTATATGGTTTGCCATTTAACACTTCAGGAGCTAAATATGGCAAGACTCCATTAATTCCATTTTCATTTGATGTTGATGTTTGATTAGCTGGAATTGATAATCCCAAATCTGAAATATATGAAACAATACCATGTTGTAGAATGTTGCCACTGTGAAGATCATGATGAATGATATTTCTTTGATGAATTTGCTTTAAACCATTAATAATATCATGAAGAATTTCTATTTTATTTGCCCATTTCAAATATTTAAATGTTTTTGATATATAATTTTGAAGACTTCCATCCTCAATATATTGCATTACAAACATATATTCTTTGTAATTTGATCTTGCGTTAATCCATAAATTTTAATTATCTGAACATTATCATGAAACATAATATAATTTTTAAACTAAAAAAAAAAATAAATATTTAATTAAAAAAAAATAATTAATAAAATTTTTTTTAAATAAATAGAAAAAAACTATTACCTCATTTAAAAATTCTTCTGAAATATTTTGAGAATTATGTAATTTTTTCAATGCAACAATTCTATCTTTAGAATATCTTCCAAAATCTGTGTATTTATTGCCATTTATCCAAGTAGCTTTGTATATAGTTGCAAATCCACCTTCACCTATCTTTTCAATATTTTTTATATCATAATAAGGAATCCATTGAAGATAACGTTCATTATCATAACTTGTTGCCTCAAGTTGTGAACATTTGATTATTTTATCTATAGTTTCATTGCCACTAGTCCATCCTTCTGTTAATAACTTTGAATCACAATATTTGCACCATTCCCAATTAGTTTTATATTCATTACAAGTTGAACATGCGTCATATTCTTTTATTATATCAAGATTGAATAATTTTGCAAGTATTTCGAATATTCCCATGTCTAAATTGATCAACTGTTGTGGATCCCGCAAATCTTAATCCAAAAATAGTAAGTCAATTTATGTAAAAAAAAAATAGCACGTGAAAAATATTATGAAAGCATATTATTTTTTGTTAAAAAGTTTAAGATAAATAAATATTTTATTACAATTATTAACAATTATTAATAAAGACGTGAAAAAAATTTTTAATTTTGGAATAGAACATTTTTTGTCTGGTATAAATATTTCGAAAATCTTGACAACTATTTATTAGACTTGGAAATCTCGTTTATTTTTGTCAAACGCGCTAACCTACAGTTTTTCAAAAAAAAGAAATCTTCTACAGTCCGTTTTATAAACTATGCAACAATATGCAAATTACAATTTGCTATTTTATTATTTAGAGATTGCAATTTTTGAATTTTGCAAACTGCAGATTGCAAATTGCATATTGCAAAGGTTTGTTTCTGAACTTTTGGTAAACTGAATTTTTGGGGAAGAATGAGAGCAAAATTGAAATACAAAACATTGCGGCGAATAAAATTTTTTTTGTGTTGACACAACTCTTTTTTTTTTGAAAAATGTAAATAATAATAATGATACATTCGTTTATAAATTTTAATAATGTTCATTGATTGTTGTTGGCAATTAAAAAACCATTGATTTTGTTCTTTTCTGCTTATTAATGATTATAAAATAACATGGTGATAATTTTTTTCCCTAGATTGTTGTTAATTATTAATTAATATAATAAAAAAAAATAGTGCGGGTTTTTCCGCGATTCTGAAAATTATTTTGATCGTGTCACATATTCATATTTACGAAAGCCGGTTTACGTCGTATGACTGTACAAAAAGCACGTTAATGTTTAAATATGTATTGTCACCGATTAAATTTGATAACAATTATTTTTGTTTTTGCGTGGATCAGAATGAATAGGGGATCAACGAATTGATTTTGTTATTAGCGAATAATTTTGGGTAAAGAAGATAAAAGTTTTAAATAAAATATTTCTATTTTATTTATTTAGTTTTACTTAGTCGAAACTAATTAACTTGTTATCAAGTTACTTACTTAGTCGAAACTAATTAATTTGTTAGAAAGTTACTTTTACATTAGGTCGAAATTAAGTTCTTTATATACATGTTCTTTACATATTAGCCCGAATTGCGCGAATCCGCACGTTTTGAGCGAATCCGCCCGTTCCGGGAGAATCGTCATTAATCTCTACTAAATAAAGTTAAATAAATATGAATGTGCTACGGATTGATTAATAATAAATACGCGAAACGCAGTGTTGTGCAATTGGAACATTGTAATGCTATTGGAATGTTCCAATGTGGCTCCAATGGTTTCAATGTAGATCTTCAATTGATATTGACCAATAAAATTTGTGTGTGAGACACTCTAATTGAATTTCATTGGTTAACTTCATTGGAACCACATTTGGAACATTCCAATTCCAATTAGAATTTGTTGGAATGTTCCAATGAAATTTTATTGGAACCATAAATGGCACAACACTGCTATTAGGTAATACAATATTGCCGATTTTACTATTTATGGAATGACTAGGAAATATCACA